CTATCATGTACATATCAAGACCTCAGACGTGCTGCCTAAGATCAGCACCCTGATCCGAATAACATGGAGCAACTTGAAAGTACAACGATGAGACGTAGCAGAATCCAAACGCCAAGGGAGTCCCCAGCTTAGCTGATGACTCTTGCACGAAGAATCCAAGCACCGAGGAGTCCTTAGCATAGCTGGCAAGTCCCCAGCGTAGCTATCGATGAAGCTGAAGCGACGAGCAATCTGATCGACGGTGAAGTGAATGCCTGAGTAGAAGTGAGCATCGAATAGTCCGACCAACTGGTCAGTGATGAAGTCCATGAGCCGAACGGTCTGACTAGTAGGTCGGCGGTGAAGTTCGAGTGCTAGGTGGCGCGACCACCCAGACGATGTTCCTCTTGTCCTTCATGATGAATCCAGTCTCCAAATGTAAGCTCATTGACTGAACTAGGCCCCTGAAACAAAAATATGTAGAACGGGTAGTTCATGATGTAAAAATAAAATATATGAAACCCGGAGGAAAATCAGCAGTGATGAAATAGTGTATGCAGCTCGGCGATCAGTTGTAGACGAACATTACGTTCATTTTTGGATGAAGTGTTTATATTTAATATAGACCATCCAAACAGTTAGTTTATAGCTGAGTCTCCAGCCCTGGCTAGCCCGTTAACCATAACGCGAAGCACGGAGCCCATGTGCGTATAGGAAGAACAAAGCGTCGTCAAGGAGCCGCTGCCGACCACCCGTAACGCAGAGGGCAGACGCTCATGCATGTGTAGGGAGAAGCCAGAGACAGGGCCATCTCTGGGGACATCCGAGCGTCAACATGACTGTTCGGGGATTTATTTAGTTGAAAGCGTGTGTCATCTTTAAGATGGTATATGTGGAGAAAAAAGTCGTTTGGAAAATGATTATGGAGAAAACAGCATGGAGAGACATCGAAGACGTAAGAAGATTAGAGAATATTTAGAAGAATATTGAAGCGTGTCTTAGCTTGATTGACGCTGAGTGGAGTAGAGGAGTCGGTGAGTCATGATGTCCAAGTAGATGGGTGTGATTTGGATGTCTCGCTTGACAGCTCAGACGGTTCGCTTGGTAGCTCGAACGGCTCGCTTGACAGCTCGGACGTTGACAGCTCGGACGGCTTGCTTGACTGCTTGGACGGTTTGCTTGGCAGCTCAGACGGCTCGCTTGATAGCTTAGACGGCTCGCTTGACAGCTCGGATGGGTACGCAGAGTCATTGGCGAACGGGCGTAATCGGAGCCTGACGGAGTCAATCCACGTGGGGAGGCGAAGCCCTTGAGCGTGTCCAACCGAGGCGAGGGCATAGTCCGAGATCTTCCTTGCATGCCTAAGATACGTGAGGTTGCTTGCATGGTGGTGTAGAACCATATGCATATGTGCTTGTATATCTCTTCAACTACTCCAGTTAGCTTGTACGGCCGACCAACATCTTTGGTGGAAACACTGCTCCACATCGTGTTATCGTCGACCACCTTTCCTGATTGCTGGTTGTCATGATATGTGGAAACGATCTTGCATATCCGATTAGAAATCACGAGCAATGACAAGATGCGATTAGGTTTCTCCCAACCGAAATCATACAGACATACGGATATATCTGGAAGTATAATAACAATATTTAATTAGGAAGCGACTTCACTTAGCTTTCTTAGATTGCTTGACTCCTATCTTGTTGTCATGTGTTGCATCTGTTGGAGGCGCATGGCAAGGCATCGGACTCCAGCATGTGAGGCCGTTCGTTGAGGAAAGCAATCCGCTACGTGCCAACATCGAGTTGTCGCCGAATGCCAAGTTACCGATGACGTTGGTTGAAGAAAAGATTCACATCTGGTTCACCATAAAATCAGCACGCACACCCCCTACCTGGCGCGCCACTATCGATAAAATCTGGTCGACAGTCTACCGAGGGGTATGCCCATGGTTGTAGATGAATCGGTGGAGGTGCGCATGAGAAACCGGATGGTGACACAGAACGTAAGAGACAACGATTAGACAAGTTCGTGCCGTCGGCTTAACGTAATACCCTATGTCCTGTGTCTTTGTGGATTGTATTGCGTGTGTTCAGATTCGATATATCGTCTAGGGGACCCCTGCCCCTCTTTATATACTCTAGAGGGGTAAGGTTACAAGGAAAAATATCCTATTTAGTATTATAATATCTTCTTGTAGCCTTGCGGTGCACGCCGACCTGTGCCGTGCGCCGCACGCTTTGATCTTGTGGGCTGGGCCACCTCTGATGGTGCGGACCATGTCTTGTCCTGTGGACATCGAGGGTCATACCCCCACAAATGGTTAGTCTCATACGGTTGTATTCTCAATAGAAATGGCCAAGAGAGTGAGCCCATGAAGACCATGGGGCCTAAATAGAAGCCCCCACGAAATAGAGTCGTTAGGCTCCCCACTATGCTGAAATCGGGGCAATCGGACGCGCCAGTCAAGGTGATCGGATGCACGCACACCAGCGTTCGGTCGTTGGATTTCAGCCACGTGTCCCTGCTTCAAATGTGTGTCGCTCGATCCCAACGGCTAGCTTAGTCACATCAAAGGTTAAGTTAAGATCGGACGCATGACCGGACGCGGCGCACCAGCGTCTGCTCGCTCACTTGCCCGCGCGACCAAGATGCTAACCTGATGCGCTCGTTAGATGACCGGACGCTCCACCACATGGAGTCCAGTCGTGTCCAGTAAGGCACCAGAGTCAATTTTCTTCGACCGGACGCGTTCTCTCAACCACGACCAGACACATAGTAGAGTTCGGTCCTCCTTTGCCTCAGCTTCCAGCTCGCGTCAGCGTACGTCAACATTTATCGGACGCACCCCCTGCACGTCCGGTCTACTCCTTCTTCAGCATCTAGTCAAAGACCCTAGCTGCTTCTTCACTGCGCAACAGTGACCGGACGCATGCACAGAGTCCGGTCGCTGTCTGAGCAGCGTCCGGTCACTGAAAAATAGTGCCTCTTCAACTTCAACTTTGTCACCCTTGCTCAAATATGCTAACAACCAAGTGTATCACCTTGTGCACGTGTGTTAGCATATTTTCACAAACATTTTCAAGGGTGTTAGCACTCACTAGAATCTAAGTGCATGCGCAATGAATTAGAACATCTAGTGGCACTTTGATAACCGCATTTCGATACGAGTTTCACCCCTCTTAATAGTATGACTATCTATCCTAAATGTGATCACACTTACTAAGTGTCTTGATCACCAAAACAAAATGGCCCTATGATTATCACCTTTGCCTTGAGCCTATTTTATTTTTCTCTTTCTTCTTTTCCAAGCCTGAGCACTTGATCACCATGGCCATCACCACCATCTTCATGATCTTCATCCATTTGCTTCACCACTTGAAATATGTACTAACATATCTCATATTCACTTAGAGCAAAGATTAGCACATAGAGTGGTTTCATCAATTCACCAAAACTAAACTAGAATTTTCACCGGGCACCCCCAACATCTGGTTCCCCCCACAATACCCCTTCCATTAGCTAGATAATCTCTAATAATTTACTAGCTAGTTAACTATACTAATATTTGTCTAAGTTATTTATTTTTCTCCGTATTAATCTATAGTAGTATCTATATAATCTAGAATTGATCTTTTTATTATCTTCTCCATCTCTTTTGTTCTTGTTGTGATTTTATTACCTACAGGTTGATTGCTAAAGTACACCCATAATTAGCTAGTTAATAAATATCGTCAGTGTTTTCCTTGTTTATTCTCTTCACATCTATCTCAACGACATTTATTGTATTTAGGATTATTTTTCCTTTCATCTTTTCATCTCATCTCTTTTGTTTTTATTATTACCATTTTCTTTGTAATATTTAATATTTTGGTTTTAGCCTTCATTTGTATTGTAAAATAAATATTTATTTGGTTATTATTTACGCTCTCGTTGTATATATTTCATAATGAATGATTGTTGTTTGCCTAAACACCCCCACACCCCATATGCTTAAATCCTGACTCCGCTCCTGCCTGGCATCGAGTGCAAGGCGGGCTTCAAGCGTGGCCTGGCCATCTCGACCAAGAGCGTGGATGCCGGCTGACGTCCTGAATAGAGCACGACCTTGCCTGTGTGCAACCTATGCTTCCGTGCGGTAGGTGAGGGGTCACTGTTGCCTGTAGAGGCATGAAATTAGAGAGACACAGAGGCACAAGAACTCGAGCATCGAGAGAGAAGGAAAGATGAGTGAGTAGAGATGATGAAGTATACGAGGGGTTAAATGCAATATGCGGACACAATCAGCGCCACAGTTTATACATGCCACGTTGGCATTGCCACATCGGCAAGAAAATGCTAACGAAGCAACATCACCTATGGTGTACTACTTAACAAGTTAGGTGATCCAGAAATGTGTTTTCAAAGTTCATATAGCTAAATGGTATACTATAACAAGTTAATGGATCATTGGTGCATTTAACTTTTCAATAAAGTAGTAAGGACGCTCCCCCTCATATTTGGCTAAAAAACAAAAAAAATTAATTCAAATATAATAATAACACTAGTCCATAAAGTAGACGGTCACCCATGTGGCTAGGTAAAAAAATTCTTGACCACCCACGCGAATCGTTGAGGTGCCACCGCAACCCAATCATGTGACCTCAACCCAATCATGTGGCGTTGGCTTCTATAGGATAGTTCATATACGAATCCCATGTATAACTGAGTAAATTTCCTATAAATGGGAAGGTCGTTGCTTTTTGAAAAAAAAAATGTCATTCCTGGGAACTTAGATACTCTAGTATATGGAGCTCTTACACGTAGTAGCTGATAAAAAAATATTTAACAGTCAATCCCAACTGGCCAGAAACACTGAAACACCAATTTAATCAATCAAGAATACATAGATGATGATGGATGCACGGCATATCGCAGCTGCATGCTTCTGCTGAACAGACGACACACGCGCCTGGACGTATAAGTGCCACGGATTGACAGCGTCAGTTCTATCTATGGAGAGTCCGAGACGCTGCTAGCTAATTGTGATGCTGCGGGTCCGGGCCGCCCGGTACGCTCCTCTTGTCTCCGCAGAGCACCATGCCCCTGTTCCACTTGGATGGCCGTCGGACGCCGGTGGATTCACCGCCGCCCGCGACCGCACCGCTGGCGCGCTGGATCTTGCGAGCTTCCGGCACGGCCACGAGCTCGACGCCGACGAGCAGGATCACCAGGAGCGCAACGCCGACGACGCGAGGAGCCATCGATTGATTTGCTCAGCAAGTACTCAACAAATTTATTTTGGCCGGGGCACAATGACCTGGTACTTATAGGGCCTTCGCTGGCGCGCCGTGACAAGAGAACGCCTTTTGAGCGGAGATTTGGTTGTTGGGCATATTACAGTTAGGACAAAACGGTACACGTCGCCGACGGCGAGGATTAGCGCTCCATTGCCACTCGCCATAGTCGCCACGGAAAGCTTCCGTCCATACGCGCTCATACACTACGTCAGATTTTTACAGCAGGAACGGGGGCATTTTCACTGTAGGGGCGGCTGGAGTTGGGGGCGCCCCTACAGTGGGCGTTCTCGGGTCCCAGCAGTCCAGCCGCCCTTACAGTTGGGGCTGATCTGTAGGGGCGGCTCAATCACCAGCCGCCCCTGCAGTGTCCATTGCCTTTTTTCAAATTTCAAAATTTAAAAGGTTCAAATTTAGTCAAATGATAAAATAACCAAAATAAAAGTTGTAGATCTTGATGAGTTGAACAACTTTTGTATTCATCACTTTTACATATGAAATCATTTAGGGTTTGAAAATTTGGTTTGAACTTGTCAAATTTCAAATTTTAAATTTTAAAATGTGTAAAACATTGTCACGTCCAAGTTTGATCAAACTTAAATGCTGAAGCATGATTTTAAAAAAATTTAGAAAAAAAACCATCACATTTAGAGGTAGTATGAGGAAGAACAACTAGTTACAAAGTTTACCCACAGATTAGAAAGAGAAATCACACTGTTCTAGATGATTCTTACATGATTATAGTGAACAATATGATTTCTTTTTTTAATCTGTGGGTCAACTTTGTAACTAGTTTTTCTTCCTCGTACTAACTTCAAATCTGATGATTTTTTTTCCTAAAATTTTCTAAAATCATTCTCTATCAATTTATTTTGTTGGTTTTGTCAATATATACATATACATATGAAAAGTTTGAGCAATTTAAATTTTGAATTTCAAAAAAATACAACTTCAGACAAGATTTTGGTTCCCCAAATGATTTCAGCTGAAAAAGTGATAAATACCAAAGTTGAATAACTCATCAAGATCTACAACTTTTGTATTGGTCATTTCTTCATATAACAAAGTGGTAACGACATTGTTCACAAATGTGACACATCTCTCATAAGGTTTTATAAACTATATGAGACATGTGTAAGATTAGTGAACAATATGTTTTAAGAATTTATCAAATGAAGAAATGACCAAAATAAAAGTTATAGATATTCATGAGTTGAACAACTTTGGTATTCAACGTTTTTTATGTTGAAATCAATTTGGTTCACAAATTTTGGTTCGAACTTGTCGTTTTTCAAAATTTCCAATTTGAAAGGTTCAAATTTTGTCAAATGACAAGATGACTAAAATAAAAGTTGTAGATATTAATGAGTTGAACAACTTTGGTATTGATCACTTTTTACGTTGAAATCATTTTGGGTCTCAAATTTTGGTTCGAACTTGTCATTTTTTAAAATTTCAAATTTAAAAGGTTCAAATTTTGTCAAATGACAAGATGACCAAAATAAAAGTTATAGATCTTGATGAGTTCTACAACTTTGATGTTTATCAAATTTTTATTTGAGATCATTTGGTGTCTCAAAATTATTTTAGTAATTTTGATTTTATTTTTTTAAATTTTTAAATTTTTTCCCCATTTTAAAGGTTCAATTTTGTAATTTTAAACTGTTCTAGTTGTTTTAGTTATTGTATATGTAAATATATCTATAAAAATAATTATAAAATTTTATACTGTATTATTTATTATTTACATGATGCAAATACAGCATCCAATGGGAAGTTAACTACAACAAATGCAGTTATCCTATTCATCCACAGTGCACCTCCCCTTATCGTCCGATCGTCCCTCCAGGCATCTGATGCCCGCCACGCCTGCTCCACACTGCCCACCGCGGCAGCCCCTCCCCCGTATTGCCGCCGCACCTAAAGAAGTAGAGACGCCACGACAACACAGCATGAGAAAAAAAAAATTCCTGCCTCACCACGGCGACGCCACCGAGAAACCCCGCCGCTGCTCCAAATCCGGCCGGCGCACGCCGTGGCCGCACCGCCCCGCAGCAGCGCCGCCGCACCCCTCCCCTCCCCCCCTGGGTTGCTGTGGCGCCGGCGCTGGTCGCCACGACACCGGGATGCCGCTGCTCCGCCCGCCTCGACTTGCCAACGTGCTTCGCCTCTCCCAGCAGGTTCGCTCCACCGCTCCCTCTTCCCGGCTCCAGCGGCCCGATGCTGTGCCGCGCCAGCACGGGAGGCCCGACGCGGGCAAACCCTAACGGCGCAGCCCAGGCGTCGGCGCGCGCGATGAAGGCCGGGTCAACCTCTAGCGGCCCAGCCCAGGCGCAGGCGTCCCGGCAGCCGGCGCGCACGACCTCCATTAGCCGGCGACCCTGCCACCGGCGCGCGTGATGCCTCCGATGCGACCAGATGCAGGTATTGTTTACCGTAGATGGAGTTATGGTCTACAGTTCCCCTCATGTTGTACATTCTTCTTCAGATTTTCCTCTCGCTTTCATTAAATTATATGTGCTCATTTCCTGATGAAGAACACAAAAGGGAGATGATGCGTGTGTGCAAGCTGCTACCACGGTTGTCAAAAAAACAGTGTTAGGCTTTTCGGTTTTGCTTCTTTGATCTATTCCATAATATTTGTTTCCACTTTGCCACAGCCAAACATGTTTCGATGAATATGTTACTTTTAAGGTTAAAAGATGCACATATATCAAAGTCAAATTAGTTCTCTTCATTGATTGCATATGGTGTGTCTATGTACATGTCCTCCAACAAGGATCACAGGATTCAGTTTTACACGTTCTTAAACAAATTAACTTTATCGTAATGCTTACAGTTTTGCTTCATTTTCAGAGGTGTATGATCATCTAATAGCGTTGCAACTTGCCAAGGTAAATTATCTAGGTGCATTACAGATTCAATGTACTGCCATAATTTTGCTTACTGTTAATAAAAGTTGTTGCTCAGTTCATGTGATTCCTGTTGGCGTTAGCTTGAGTGCATCCCACATAATTCTGATAGGGTGTGCACTATATCATCCACCATGACTTCTTACCTTCTGCCAACGTCTTCCTACACGAGTTGTCTTACATTGGGTTCACAGTTATGAGAACCTTCCTATATTGATGATACAAATTATGAGTTTAGGATGCTTTGCTCGATTGTGTTCACTTGCTTAATACCAGTAAGTGGAATTCAGTATGATGAAAATTAGATTCTATCCTAGACGAGATGAGATTGTAGTGGCGCTGTTGCTGCCTTTATTGATGCTTCCGTTTCCAGTTATGCCGGAAAATATGTCATCAGGAAATAATTCATCATTACATCATATTGGGGTCTCAATTATCTGATTCTCAAGTTATATTCAGTCATCTTATGAAGTATGCCAAAATTTACAGAGTGCCTTTAATTTGGACTTATTAGTTTGGATAGGATTCTTCTATTTTTGAAGTACTCTGCTGCTGCAAGAAAGTAAAATTCCTTTTCTTTTACTGAACATCATGTAGCCCTGCCATACATTGGGACACTGATAAGAGAAAGGTGCTACTACAGCTGGGTACACCTATGTTTCAGAGCAAATCCTTTTGTTTTATTTTGCCACTATTCGTGCACTGCTACTTTGCACTTCTTTGTCGGATAATGTCACTACATGTGAATATCTATCCACAATGCCTATGGACTCTGTGATGAGTTCAGTGCTTTGCACCATATCCACGGTGCCTATGGAACAATTATTAGTCAATACTGCTAAACATTTCAGGAGGCTTGTCTTTTTGTTTTCCTTTTTTGATTCTGATTTTTTTTCTGGTTTTACTTTATGTTAGGCACCATGTATGAGGAGCCACAAGCTGGGGGACAAGATCGCGACACTTTAGTAGCTAGTCTCGCCATATGGCAAGGTAAGGACCAGCAGCTATTTGCTTTGGGTGCTGATTATTATCTATCATTACAGGAAGTACATTCCATCGCTGAAAACTGAAATCCGACGTAGTATACTTTTCTGAAAGTATGTGTAGTAGTACTGTATGCTTTGGTTCAGATCTCAATAGCCCAAGTATAGATATTTTGACCAGACATGCACTAGTGTAAACAAAAGTGATTCCTAGTGATTCCTTCTATTACAGAATGCCACAAAACTATAGATTTCAAACTCTTATTATCTGTTCTAAACATGAATCATTTTCAGGAGGCAAACAATCTATATCTTTTCATTTGTCAGCATATTTTAATTTATAGCTACAGGTGTATATATATTTTCACTACTAGGAACTTCTATGTTTGCTAATTATTGTTCTTTATCCAATAATTAAATACTATACGTAATTCTCATGTCTCACTATTCCATGGCCCAACAGCAGACATCAGACATGTTGATTTATAGGAAAGTTTGTATCCAAAATATTTGACAATGTTAAGTATAAATCCTCAAGGTGAGGGCTTTCATATGTAATGAATCTATCTCTGTTGAAATTGGTTTTTCCTGTAGCTGTCCTTGCATGATTGTTCTTAACAATTATTTGTCTCCATGGAGATTTCTTAGCAGTAGCAATATCTGCATGTGTAGTTGTGACTACATCAAATATACTCAATTTTCAGTATTGGCTAGAGCAAATGTTTGAACTTTATTATTCTAGTTGTATTTACTTGGTGTGATTTTTGTGAAACCAGTGTCAAAATGTTTAGTGTGAATTGGTGTACTTCCTGGAAATGCTTAAATATATGTCAGAGTTGAGAAAAGATTGTTGTTACTTGATTTGAATTTATATATATATATATATATATATATATATATATATATATATATATATATTATATGTGTGGTCAGATTTGAATTTGAATTATTTTTTTCTGGAAAATCCACTGTAGGGGCGGTTCTTGATTGAACCGCCCTTACAAATACACACAGCAGGGGCGGCTGGTGATACAGCCGCCCTTACAGAAATCCACTATAGGGGCGGCTGATATTACCAGCCACCCCTACAGAGGGCACTGTAGAGGCGGCTGAAAACACCAGCCGCCCCTACAGAGGGCACTGCAGAGGCGGTCAGGAAACCGCCCCTACAGAGGCACCCTCTGTAGGAACACTCTGGAAAGGGCGGCTGGCGCAGCCGTTCCTATAGAATCTCTAGAGCTGCCCCTGCAGTTAAATTCTGTAGTAGTGATATACAATGCCAGATCTCTATGATGTACGTCAGTACGTGTGCCCAGTTAGATCATGGATGCAGGGTCAAAAATGAGTTTACATACGGAAGACGGGAGCAGCGAGAGCCAGTTTTGGTTCAAACCACGTAGAACAGAGCAATGCAGAAAAACAGAGCAGATCCTGGCAGAGATGGGAGCGCTACTCACTAGCTCGATATGATGACCCGGCTCCATTTGCATCGCTTTCCACGCCTGACGGGCACGAAGGGAAAGTAGGTATCTCAGTTGAATAACCGATGCTTTTCAGCATTATTCTACCAGCTTTCACCTCCAAAACAAAGAAGGCTTTTTGATGATTCGGTCAATCCCAAGCTACGAATACATTTCCAATAGCCTGCATCTCGGAACCTTCCTTTAACAGAAGAAATCGCTTTAGTAAACCTTAATAAATCGCAGTCAATGAGACCTCGAGGAGAGGAGGAGCGCACAGTTAACTGAAAGTGCACCAGCTGACGGTGGTGAACGAAGAGCTCCAAGCCTCCAACTCAGTGGTGAGCTAGCATTCAGATAAGCTAGAAGTAACGTAGTAATGACCTTTCGCATCTCAGGTGCCATTGCCATTGCAATTTATTTGCAAGTCGCCTGCGTGCGTTGGACGTGGCTACTGGCTAGCTGCTTTTGGGCAGTAGTCAGTGGCTAGAAAAGCTAGACCCAAGAAGACGTTTGGATGGTTTAGCCGCCATTTGTTTTTCATTGGTAAAGACTGCGTGTGCATGCTCAAAAGCCTCCCAAGTAGACCGCCACCCCCACTTGATTAATTTTGACCAACCATGAATGTCAAATGTGTCTTAAACTTGATTTGCTTGGTCAATGGCATGATTAGTTGCTATATATGTGTGTCGGTAGGCTAGCTCAACAGGATCTTCAGGGTGACCAAAGCCTTCAAAAAAAGTCTTCGTCACTGCCGGTTTTGCTAGGTCCGGTGAAAGTGGGCGGCGATGAGGATTTCCATCACCGTCAGCGAGAGAACCAGCGGTGAAAATAGAATAAAACGTTAAAAAAATAGTTCTCGCTGCCGTCTATACCTGCACTCGTCTGTGCCACCGCCGTCGAGCTCACCGAACGTCGTTATCGAATTTGTGTGGATCCAAACCGTCGGCTCCACCCTCGCGCAGATCATCGCTACCCTGGATTTGACGATGACACATGGCGAGCTCGGAACCACCCAGATCCACTGCACCTTGTCGCTACCCAAGCTAGACCAGATTCACCGTGCCATGCTACCGCCCTAGATCATGCCGCCATGGTGGGAGAGTAGGGGGAGGTGGTCGCAGTTGGGGAGGAGGCGGAGGGGAGCGGGTGGGGGAGGGAGGGAGGTGGGAGTGGAGGCGGCAGCGGTGGGGGAGGAAGAGGCGGCGCGGTTGTTAGAGAGGAGAGGAGGGGCATGGGCAATGGGGATGGAGGGGTTGGCGGTGGGCGTGGCGGTGGTGGGGGAGGAGGAGGTGCGCAGACGAGGGACAGGGGGGCACGAAAAGGAGAGTGAGGAAAGAGAGACGGTTTAAGGTTTTTGTTGCATATATTTTTGGGTCTAGTCTATACGAGATTTTTTTTATCCTTCCATTAAGTCCACTAGCCCACAACATACTGAGGTGTGAACCCAGCGGCGCGTCTTGAGCTTGTCATGGCCTCACACTGACATAGCCATCCGTTTCAACTTTCAAGCTGAGCGTTGAATCTAGCGACAAGCAACCCTCTCTCTGCTCCCTTCTCTCCCCCATCTCATCTTGCTTACTGAGTTGTCCTGCATTACGATAGGTTGTTGTACTTGTTATTATAGTTTATTTGTTTCGTGCTTAAAACATTATTGCTATGTATTTCTTTAAATCCGGTCCAACTTGAAGATATTGATGTAATGATTTATGAGAAACCTAAACACTATATTTTGGAAAAATATAGGAGTAGGTTTGAACAGATCAAGATATAAAGTGTGGAGCAATGCAAGTTTTTTCCAATAAGACAGAAAAAGTTTAACATACGGCATACTATACTACAAAGAGTAAAATAAATTCAGACGACATTTGCTGTCGGAAAAAACAATAATCGACCAAATGGTCAGAAACACTGAAACCCCCCCACCTCAATCAAGAACACATGGATGAAGTAACACCCTTTTACATATGGTTTTCTCTGCGAGATAAACAAATGCCTAATAATACCGTAAGACACGTCACAATTGCATCCATCAGTTTAACACACGTGACAGTATTATTATGCCTAATAAACAAATGCCTAATAATATAAGAAGAGTATTATTATTAGGCATTTGTACTCTTCTGTTCTTCAGCATGCCTAATAATACTCTTTGATATTATTAGGATGCCTAATAATATCAGAAGAGTATTATTATGCCTAATAAACAAATGTCTAATAATGTCAGAAGAGTACATGCCCTTGCGGGCAGAATTTAGTTTCCCATGTTGGCATCCATCGGTTTCCTTGTTCATAGTTGGGAGCGGTGTCAGTTCTACCGCATCTCCTCCACGGCTACCTAGTTGTGATGCTGCGGATCCGGGCCGCCGGGCACGCTTCTCTTCTCTCCGCCGAGCACCCTGCCCCTGTTCCACTTGGACGGCCGTCGGAGGCCAGCCGATTCACCGTCACTCGTCACCGCACCGCCGGCGCTGGCGCGCTGGATCAAGCGAGCTTCCGGCATGGCTACGAGCTCCGCGGCGACGACCAGAAACACCAGGAGCGCAATGCCGACGACGCGAGAAGCAGCCATCGGAGATGGTTCGGTCGTCAAGAACTAAATCAGTTTCTCGCTTTTGAAAAAACGAGTCAAAGCTCTAGCTAGTAGCTACTACACCTAACCTGATCTGCTCGTGCTGGTGGCCAGGTGCGCCGGGAATCACCTGATATTTATAGGTCCTTGGAAGGCGCGTCGTGACAAGAGAATGCCTTTGGCCGTTGGGCATATTACAGTTAGGACAAAACAGTACACGTCGCCGGCAACGTGGACGTGGATTCGCGCTCGTCCGAGTGTCCACCATTGCCACTCGCCACACAAAGCTTCCGGCCTTTTATTTTGTGGTTCATCGTTACGCCGCGCTCACACTGTCACACCGTGTCCCAGCCTCGGCTGCATGCATGCATGTTCTCAGCGATGTTTGTGTGCCAGCCTTGGTGTATAGTAGATAGATCATGGTCATGGGTGCAGCCGTGCAGGGATCAAAAGGCTCTGTAAACCATGAATGAAACATGAAAGACAGGAACTGTGTTGATCAAATCCATGCCGAAGAACAGAGCAGATCCTGGCAGAGACGGATGCTCTGCTCACCACATCGACGATCCAGCTCCATATGCTTTCCACGCCTGACGGGCACGAACGTGAAAAGTAGGTATCTCTGTCGATAAATCGATGCCCCTTTGTATTTTAGCAACTTGCACCCTCCGAAAGGAAAGGGAGAAGGCTTTTTGACGATTCGATCGTCTGAAGCTACGAATGCATTTGGAAAGGTTAGTTGCATTGTGCTACTTTTAGGTCTTGTTTGGATGCATGTGTATCCATCTTAATCCACATGTGTTTGGAGTGAAATGCAATAGAATTTAGTTCAATTTCACTCTAATCCATTTCAACACATGTGGATTGCGCATCGCCTTAGCTGGACTGGATCTCGGAACCTTCCTTTTACAGAAGAAATCACTAAAATATATACGAGGATGCAGCGCTGCATGTAGTAGCTCAATGTAGTACAGAAACTAATGGTTTCAGTCCAAATCGGCCCTGCTCCGTTCAATAAATAAATTGTTGCTCGTACCAATTTGACTTTCAGGTCTAAACCATTAGAATTAGAAAGACTCCAACTTAGAAGCTCTTGAAGCATATTATGCAGCAAACTGAGCACGACCAGCTGTTTAGGTTTCCACTTGTGAAACCGGTTCATCCGGATTTAAATTCTCGACTTATCATAGGTGATTATATTTTCCCACGTTTCCTAGGTGTCAGGCGCCTGAATGTTTCAGGCGACATGTGTGCGTTTTTCTTCAATCCATGTAGCATCAATACAAATAGATTGTGGCCGTTGGATGTTAATCTAGTAGCTGCTAGCTGTTGCCTGGAAATAAGTTAGATTTCAGCCACTTGAAATATAGCATATCCCATATTTTCCTTAGTTTATTTTAGTATTTGACGATGTCATTTTTGGTGACAGAGCAGCCCAGCGTGACTTCATCAATATTGATAGGTGCGGGTTCACTTCTTCGGAGGTATTTATTGGAATATAAATGAGTGGGTATGCATATATACACATGTGCGTTGTTCATATCTGTACTGTTATTCAAGAAAAAGAAAGTTGTTGACATATCGTCTATCCTTCTCCATCAGTTTAAGTTTTCGAATGCAACTAGTGTCTAGTAGCATGGAGTTTAAGTAGAAATTGCTTTATAGAGAGCGTTAAATCCCGTATCGCAGTCGAAGAGATTTCGAGGCGGACCGCACAATTAACTGAAAGTGCCTCCAACCGATGGTAAAGAACTAAAGACTCTGCTGGACCAGTGCTGAACTGGCACTCCAGGGGATGCTAAGCTAGAAGAAGTGGATCGGGTCAGCGAGCACAAAGTGAGCTTTCACATCTCGCCATTGCAAATCGATCGACTGCGTGTTGGAGACTCGGACGTGGCTAGCTGATTCTGGGCGCTAGTGACTGCCTCTGTGGCTAGAAAAGGCGAGACCCGTTAAAAGACGACGTTTGGATGGTCTGAGCCAGTGAGCCGCCATTTGCTTTGCATTGGATAATAGTACGTGTACATGCTCAAAGCCACTAAACTTTACCACGAGCATTCTGCGTTACTCTAAACGCTATATTTTCAACAACTGTGGGCCTTTTTCGGAATGCCCCGCTCTACGTTTTTCAGCTCAGCTCTACATTTTTTAGCTAAACAGGTGCAGCTTCCACTCTAGAAAAAAAAATGTAGTTGTGAGAGCATATAAAGGGGTGTTCTAGAAGCTTCTGTTTTTTTTAAGCTGAACTTGACGGTGAAGTTTGTGAAGCAGTCACAAACAAACCCTAAAAATGGCCAAATGAATCTTAAACTCGATTGGCTTGGTTAACAGGAAGATTAGGTACTATTATGTCCTTAGCACAATAAGAGATGCAAATATTGCAAACTGAGCATCAACTGATTATATTTCTTGTGGTAGAACCTGCCTATCCGAATTTAAGTCATTGACTTTGACGATGTAGATGCTCGCATTTTGTTGGACTTATTTTAGGACTTAACAACGTTGTTCTTTTAGTCGTAGACGGCGTATCCACCAACAGTGAGACGTTAATCTTGATATCCGTCAGCTCAGTCTCAATCTTTCGGATGTGCTCGTAGGGATATGATATGTGTTCATAAGAGAGAGTGTATGTTCATGTATGAGTGTGTCTATTTGTATTCGCAAAACAAAGTGCAAACCCTATCCATTTGCAAAAACAAAGTGCAAACCCTACCCATTCGCAAGACAAAGTGCAAACCCGACCCAATACTATCTATGGTCATGATTGGCAGAGCTCCGGCTCCAAAAAAGATTTTGTAGATTTCGTATACCTTGATATTTCTAGCAATAGCTGTGGACACACTTTAGTTGTTTGGTTGAACTATTTTGTTTATGTTCAAAACAAAAAAAAATATAGAGTAGTAAGATTTCTACATTTTAGCATACAAGCTCTAGATCTAAGTATGGTAGATGGAGCTATGGCAAACAAGGCTTACACTTTAACATTTATCTTTGTCTCCCTCCCTACTAATATATTTGCAGCAAATCTCTCGCTGCCCTTTCAAGGAAAAACTTCAACATTTATCTTAAAGTCTTTCTCCAAGAATGTGGTAACTTAATTGTACCCTCCCCAATACTAAACATATACTTCTTCTGGTTCCAAATTTAGTACTTCATCCCAAATTATAAGTCACTCTAGCTTTCTTAGAGAGTCAAGACTAAATTTATATAATAAAATAATCATTTATGATACCAAATAGGTATTATTAATTTTTTTTTCATTAATAATATTTAGTAATATCTATTTAATGTCATAAATCTTTGTAATTCTCTATCTGTAATTTTGATCAAATTTGAGATGCTTTGACTCTCAAAAAAAGCTAGAATGATTTATAATTTTGAATGGCCTCCATCCCAAAATAAAGTGCACATCTCGCATTGAGGAGTCAAACAAAATTAAATTTGACCAAATCTATATGTGAAAATACTAAGATTTATAATATCAAATAATTATCATTAGATTAATCATATCATATATTTTTATGCTAATTGTATTTAGAGATACAAATGTTAATACTATTTTCTATAAATCTAATCAAATTTGAGATTTTTTTTTTATTCCTCAAAATACGAGATAAGCTACCCAAATGGGCCGGCACTGGCCGCATACATGATACATCGGTCAGGCAAGTGGACCGACTGCTGCTTGTCGTCTTCGCCAAAGCGATTTTGCCTCCAGCGGGTCGATGACGCCATGGTACTGGCGTTGACTATGCATCATTGTTCTCACGGGCCACTCCGGTCATGGCTCGTGCCCCTCGTGTCAAATCTCGGCACCCTGCGAAATTAACGAGCAGGAGCAGTCTGTGTGGGCCGCCTCATGTCGGCCAGAAATAGTACCGTCCGCGTTTCGGATTCCGATTGGCCATGGAGCCCCATGAGTCCAGGACGTACGCTTCGGATAGATTAGCACTGCACGCTGATGATTTTTTTTCCCCGAAAGATGCATGCATGGAGATAAAAAGGTGACTGAGTTGCAGCTGGTGCAGGTCCGGTGCAGATCCACTGTACCAGTGCCCCAAAAACAGTGAATTGGTCCATTTACTTGCATGCTCTATGATTGGGTGGAAAATAAACACGAGATGCAATATACATCATATTCGCTTGATCATATCAATCATACTTATCAATCATGATATAGTATTTTTCTCTTACAAAAAAACAACATCAGCCGACTTATAAGCCACATAAACGATCAAACAAACATGATGTATATCATATCAATGATACATATGTTGGGACGTCTCGCAGTATATTACTAGTAATGTAGAGGTCAGAGATTTTTGACACATCTTCTTATTTCTTTATTATCTTTAAAATAAAAAGCTGCAAACGTGCCCATATTCTAGGAACTTTTCTTTCCGAAGGACCCGATCGACGAAATATATATCCAAAATGCACGATTTGGATATATTTCTCGAGTCTTTAAAAAAGAAAAGTTGCTAGACTGGGTTGACTGAACTGAACGAAACGATCGATCGATTTGCGTTGATAATCATCAGGCTACCGTTAGTGATGCTGGGGATCTGGGCCTCCGGGGCTCAGCCGCTTATCCTCGTATGGCACGGCGATGCCGGCGGCGTCACCTCCCTGGCCTTGCGCCGCGCCGTTGCCAAACGCCGCCGCTCCGGCATCCACGTGAACCTGCACGGCCGCCGCGTGCAGGAGGCCGCCGGAACCCTCCGCAACCGGCGCGTCTTGCTGCAGCGGACGGGCCGAACAGGTTTGCTGCACGAGCACGACGGCGGTGAGCAGCAGCCCGATGCAAACAAGTTGCCTCGCGCTGCCGGTTCCTGCCATTTAATTTCTTCCTCGATTTTTCAGCTCAAGATCACTGCAGTAGTGTACTCGAGTTAGCTACCTGTCGTTCCTGTGTAAGATCTACGAGTCAGAACGGGTCTTATATAGAGGTCGATCTCGTACGTGCCTAAGTGCATGGCACGGTGAGCCTTTTGCCTGCTTACGTGGAAACTACTTGAACCTGTGTGGATCGGCATCATCTGCTTCGGATTACTACACCTTTTGTGTTTCTTACTCGACGGTCTGCGTCACTAAATTTTGATAATAATAACAGGAGAAAGGCAAGGCTTATTTCACATCCTCATCGTGCCCGCGGCCATAAATATATCGAGCCTCGAGTCGGCGGCTCGGCGCATGCGTTTCTTGCCCTGGGTAGCTTATATAGCTTATTAACTCCAACGAGCTGTGTGTAGCACTGAGATTTGAATGTTCAATAATTCTGTCAAAATTAAGGCAGAGATCGATGTTAATTTCTCCCCATGCATGATAATCATCTCTTGCTCTCCGAGAATGACCTCATCGTTTCGATCCATATCCATATCGGAGCGCGACTTTTTCAGCCCATCCGTCTGCACGGGAAAGCTGTGGCTGTGGGCTATAGCCGCCGCCGCTGAGACGCACGAGCACACAGAAAAGCACGACCCGCACGACCACTCACGGAACCGTATTATCTAGAGCATGTGCAGCAGCTCACCAATAATAGCCATTTCATGCTAAAATTTTAGGGTGTCCAAGTTATGAGAACTTAAGGCGTGCTGAGGTTAAATTGAGAGCTCCGTGCCACGATTCACGCTGGCTACGATAGCGCCACATCGCCAGCCATGACAACCCTGGTCTCCGAACCGCTGAGACGTGTTACCTCGGCACCGTAGGCCATGGTGCCGAGCTCAGGATCCGAAGATGGGTTTTTGACGTCTAGAGGTATAAATTTTTGATGAAAAAAGCATTAAATTAAAAAAAATCGGTGATATTAATCACATATGTATAGCTTAGTTCAGAGCGTTCCTAGCTTCTACCTTTCTCAACCTCATAACAATGAAGACAAAAATAGCCATCCATTTCCTATGCGAGATTAAACATTTATTCCACTTAGCATCTTCATAGATCTTGATATTTGTTAATTTGTTTAATTTAATTTAAAAAATAATGAGAAAGTCTTATTAAATTCGATAACTATTATAGTAGTATGCCAACTTGGATATTGTGCAAAATGGGGGGATCTTTTGAAAACTTGACAGCTCTTAAGGCGCAGTTGAGGTCTCAATTCTTCATGGTTGCTGTAATTTTGATGTTTTGGACAATCTGGACAGGAAGGAATGAAGCCATCTTCAATAATAATCAGATGAGTCTGCATGTGTAGAGCCTCTTTCTTCAAAGAAGTTCGACTTGCTGCCCTAAGGGTGAAATCAAGTCTCTACAATGGATTCAGAGTATGTAATTGATTAAAACGTTGGCTTGATCTTTTTTGTTTCTTTTTTTTGTCTCTTGAATGTACCACTCTTTCTTCCCCCCTCTGTAACCTTTAGCATCTCTCGTTTCTTTGTAACTAGTTGTTTGTTGGAAAAACTGGTGTTTCCGGCAGACGGAACACAATGAAGCCTTCACCCGGTCGAATGCTAGAGGCGAAGGTAAGAAGAGTGAAAGGTGGGCCCAGGCTCGATTAGAGTTTCATAAATGCCCTCCTCCCTCTCTCTTTACACAGTCTAACTCCTCCTTTTATAGGGCGTTGTTTGCTACCGCTCCATATTACAACTTTGTCCTCCGGCAACCATAATACATTCCCGGAATATACCTATGACAATACAAGCTGCGCGGGGCAGTTTGGGCATCTTCTCGGCTCAACCGCCTCAGTTTGTTTGTTGAGTTCAGTTATATGATCGATAGAAAATGGTGGAAGCGACCCACGGCCCGTGCCGCCATCCATCAGCACATCTATGATGCTCCTCGGCACATTCAAAATCCGGAGCCTCCGCCTTGGGGGAAAAACCTCGTCAAGTGGGATCTTTGCTTCGTTTGGCTGGATCGCGGCCTCCGTTTGGCTCTAAGCAAGAACCTTCAAGTACTGCTTCGGCGCACAAGCTCACTTTCGCTAAGTCTCTGGTCCTTCGCCAATGAAATTTGACAATGATAAATGAGCGGAGGCTCCCGTCTTCTTTCCCTGCACGCTACCCACAAGATTCGTTAACCTTTAGTTCTTGTTGCTATTGCGAACCTTGGCCTTCGTGACTCGCGACCGTGTTCCAACAGTTCCCCCCTTGAGGGCATGGTCTGATGTTGGCGGGCCTTGTCCTCAAAATCTGGTCCTCAGGTTCTGAGGTACGGAGGCTCTGGCGCATGCGGAGGCTTCTCCCCTTTCCCCCCTAGGTCGCCAGGATCAAATCGTTGCATTAGTGACATGTCACTACCTGATTTGCCAAGGCAGCTTTGGAACCGACGCGTTTTTGAATGGATGCGACCATTGGCCCCGGAAGTTGAAACGGCGGGGTGGGGACTATATAAGGGAGCGGTAGGTGAAGGCTTCCCCATCCCCATCCCCATCCCCATCTGAGCCATTGCTTTCGCTACGGTCGCTTTCTAAGTTCTTTCTTCTTTGCTTAACCTTCGCTTAGTTGTCGCTTGCCTTCGCTTCCTATTGCTGTTGCTAAATCTTGGAAGTGGCTTCACCTGTTAGTCCTCCTCCCCCCCCCTGGGCTACTTTCTTTGGTCCGTATCACCGTCTTCTTGGCATTAGAGCGAGTGGGTGGTCTACGGGTTTTGAGGAGTGTATGATTGCCAGTGTGTAGGCGTTGGGGCTTGAAGAACATCTTTCTGGAGTTGAGGCCTCCGTCATCGATTTGATAACCACTGAGGAGGCAGGAGACATGGCTGGCCCATCTAGGAAGTGGAATTTTGGGCCTTCGCTCATGACGAAGGACATGATCGAGGAGTTGCGGAAATTGGGTTGCTTTGGTGAGGCTAAGGTGAAGCCCCCGCAAGGGGAGATGATCCCTAAACCGCAAGCCTGATGCCGTGGTCTTCAAGGACATTTTCCTTTGTGGCCTTCACTTTCTAGCAGCGTGCTTCCTTCGTCAAGTCCAGGAAGCGTTCAAGGTACAACTGCATCATCTCACTCCCAACGGTATCGTTACTTTGAGTAAGTTCTGTTGGGCCTGCTTGTCTTATGGTGCGGAGCCCAATGTTGGTACTTTCTGCGAGTACTATGAGCTTCAGCGCCAGCCTAAGTGGGTGGGCGAAGGCCAGTTGATAGCCTAGTATGGGAGCTGCAATTTCATGCCCAAGAGGAATCAGAAAAGGGAGAAGTTGGAAACTTCTTTTGCTTAGAAGAACAAGTGGAATAAAGACTGGATGCAGTACTGGTTCTATGTCAGGACCAGTGGCATGACCTCTATGGATAGCGAAGGAAAAAACACACCTGTTACCCGTTGGCTTATGTTTTGACTCCGATAAAACCTTCGACTCAAGGAACTCTGGGTCCAGGGACTTCTGAGGGGCGCGAAGCCTGCGATAAGGCTTTTGCCTTGGCCTGTCAGTACTCCGGAGGCCGGGATCTGGTGGAGGAAATGGTGGTAGCTAACTGTTGGCCGCTTGGCAGGAATAGACCCACCTTGACTATTGAGATGGTCAACCTTCCTGTCTTTGGTGAAGGAGTTGGGGTTCCCTTCCCTCGATTTGGCTTTGAGAATAAGGAGGGTCGGGTCGTTGAAAAGGTCGTGAAATCCACAGAGGCAGGGGCTCAAGAAATACTCGATGAGATGTCTGATAGGCAGTACTTGATGCGCAGGGCCATCGCCCGTACGATGCCCTGTCTTAATCGTGTCTTCGAGGAGCTTGGGATCCATCATGAGGAGCATGATGTTCCTACAAAGGTACATAAGTCATTGGAAGATAAAGCTAAGAAGGTTGCTACCAAGAATGCGACTGTTGTAGCTGAGGCAAAGAAAAGGAAGGGGGCTGGTGCATCTAAGGCTGTCAGCAAGAAACAAAAGACCACGGCCGCTTCTAATGCCGCCTCCACTTGGCCGATGAGGAGGTTGTGGAGAATGTTGGCGGAGGCTCGGCTTTCGTGGGTGCTGTGGGATGGATGGCGAGCATTCCGCTACCTCCGCCGATCTTGGTGGCGATACTTTTGTTGGGGCTACTCTCAAAGAAATGGGTGGCGGTGCTACTGCTGAGGCCTCTGCCATGGCACCAATGCCCGGTGTTTTGGGCGATGACTCGTCCAGCTCCAAGGGCATGGATGACGATGGTGGTGATGCCTCCCCCTCGAAGGACACTGAAGTTGGGAGTGCGGACCGCCGCCTTGCAAAGGCTCCTTTAGATGAGGGGTCTGAAGATGAATTGGAACAAGGATCTCCTATGTCGCAGCCTTTGAACCCGACGTCCCCAGTTGGTTCTCGCAGGGAGGAAGACAGAGAGATGGATGTGGCACAATGCACTCTATTCTCGAGTGAGTGTTCTCTGACTTTTACGTCCCCTATTTCCTATGCTTTAGCCTTGTGCTTGTGCTTAAGCTTTTGTTGTTTGTGCTTTGTTAGGTGACCTGGCCAAAGCTATGGCGACTCCTGTGCCTAGGGAGATGCCTTTGGCTGCCGGGCTAGACCTTGCCCGGGTCGGATTGGGTGCTGCCCCCCGAGCACCTCTTTTTACAGTTGGTGCAGGACCTTCGGACCCTGGCCAAGCCGGCGGTGAAGGTCTGATTGGTTTTGATTGCTGACTTTGTCTTTGTTGTGTTCGCTCGTTATTGCTTATACTGTAACACCCTCAGTGTCACACTATAAATCATTTACTAAAACATGTCATGAGCATCATGTTTATGTGTTAATGTATGTAATAAAGAGTGTAGATCAATTTCCGTAACTCAAAATGATCAACGGAAACACGAAATGAAAGTTCATTCAATAGTCATGTTATATCACTTAGGGTTTAGAACCAATTTTTATTAAGCAAAAATACTATAGAACATGTATGTGATACTTGAATAAAGTTTAAAGTACAAACTT